GGGGAATTCCAGCTGCCGAATCACGCAGAGAACAAACGTGGCAAACTTAGTGAAGCAAAGCGAATGTCGTGCCTGATTATGTGAAATTCTCAATCCTGCCTCCCAGTTCTGATGAGATCCAAGCCGGAACACTTTGATCCTGAATGGCATGTCGGCGGGTTCTGTCAGGTCTCCATCAAACCACAAGATAGTTCGGCACATGCAACTCATTGACGTCTTTCAGCGTGACCATTCCTCACGCTATCAGTCCTAGGGACTTGGATTCGCACGCCTCGCATTATCTTAAGCAAATCAATTATCAGCTTTGCCTTGCGGAATCATTTCAGCCAGTTGTATTTGTTGCACCTCGAAAATGTGCCTCAAGAACTTTGTGAGAGTGTCACAGCCAAGATGACTGTTGTTCAAATGTCCGCAACGAAACCCTGTTCCCTACGAGAAATGTGGGTAAACCCAGCTAAGCCAAGGCGTATGTACGAATGGTTCTACTCGCTTGAGGAGCCTAAGTTGACAAACTGCTTGCGTAGCCACATTGTATTGACTTCTTCATGTTTGTTTTGGTTTCGGCCCGTTTTTAATTTGAACTCCAATATTCATGTGTCTTGTATAAATGCTGAACGCCACCCACCCATACCTTTCTCAGAATCAAATTGGCATATTTCAACGATCAACACAAGAGCTTGCCTGTAGGATGCAGTATAATTTTGAAGATTTTGTTGGGAAATTCTGGGTGTCTATTTGGACTCCTCAGTCGTGACTACGTGACTGGGCATTCACCCGCATGTATAACGGAGTGTATTAAACACCAACAAATGCCTCGGTCTCAGACAGCCACCTAGATACAGAAGGACACATAGAAGGACTCAAATTTTAACAAATGAAATGCATGTGGGAAGTTAAGCTTGACCTGGACGCAGCATAAAATTTACGTGGAATTATCATGGCTAATTTTCGCGCTGCATGAAAAAGGCGCAGCAATGAAATCCACACTCCATTTACTTGTCCTTAGTTGCATTGGATCGGTAAGGCTATGCTAGGATTATAGGTCATTCACAAGAGTTGAACCATTCCGAAGATACCACTCTAGCGAAAAGTGCGACGCTGCCAGTTGCCACCTTCAAAACATCAAAGCCAGCCTGATCGTAAACCAAGTCGCTAATCATCTCGGGTAGCCAAAGCCATACATTAGACATCAATGTACAGAAAATTTGCACAGAAACACAAACACCGATTTTGTCAAGCCACAAAAAGACCGTCTCATTAAAAAGCTGTTTGTTAAATTTAAGGTAGTCATCTGTGAAATCCAGACCATCGGGAGCGCCAGCATTATGAATACCTTTTGGCGGCAACATGCAACATACGGGAAAATTGACAAAGCTCCACAGAAGAACATCACCGGACACGCAGCCACAAAAAAATCCCAGAAATCAAGCACTCTATGCAAATTCATCAACAACAACAGATCCGCACGTCCAAAAGTTCGTATTGCACGAGGTTAACTTGTGACCTGCTGAAATTTTTAACTCTATTCGATTCAGCAAAATCCAGCGCAGTGCCTCCAGTGAACATCTGCAGCGGTATTTAGCAAATTCCTTTAATAGAACCTTGTGTTGCAACATGTCGGCGAACCCACCAGATACCGCGTGCGCCAAACAGCACCCTCGATTTATTCGGTAATCACCAAAGAATCGCGCTTCGCTGATCATGATGTATTCAAAGCTCCTCTGTGACTTAGTGACCCCTGTCTGTCAATCTAACATCGTTTTCGTCACTTGGCCATATACCCGGATTGTCATACGTGGGTTCGGAACCTCTGGCATGCGGCTCCCCAGAAATTATTAGCTTTCTGGAGCAACCAGAAGTATGATAACACGTAACACAACCTGTCTGAACATTTTTTTTAAAATTCAACACCATTGTAAATCAGAAATAATAATAATGTTTATTCTCAACTTGTGGGTGGAATACCGTCTGGCATGGTCATAAGTTTTCTGTCAGAATGACTGGGAATTTGTTGGTAGTGGGGATTGAGGCAGCGACATTGACAATGATAAATATTTTACGAAATGTAAAAATAATAGGTGTATTTCCCAAGTGGTGGAGAAAATTCGAATGAAATCCGAGTAGTTCCATCGTGAAGCCAACTGACATACACTGAAATTGAAAACCATTGCTGGCCAAAAATAACTGGGTTTTCGGACAACCCCGTAACGGTTCTCAAGGTTGCCATGATTGGAGAGGAATACACATTTCTTTGGTGGCTGAATCCGAGGTAGGTGAGGAGAGGGGGTCAGGCCGATGCAGGGTCAAGGATAAGTTTCCTTCCGTTGGATGACCACATCCTCCAATACAACCCAGAATAAACAAGCCACACTGTCTTTGCCCGATTGTGTGAGGAGGCGACCAGGAAATACCGAAAAACACTGGATATGGCATCTTCCAGCTTATCCAGACAGAGCCTCGTTGCCGGTCGAGCCCCTTACAAAGACTGTTGACAAAAATCCGTGCACAATGGCATATCAATCCAACCGCTCGACGAATGCATACATCCTTCTGCTTATAAAAAATCGATTTTCACGCCAATGTGACAAATGAGTGATCGACTGCTGCCCAGCAGCTACAGGACTATGAGAATAACGGACAAGGCGATGAATCGAATTGTGAAGCGAGTCACCTTGAATCACCCCACCAATAACTTTATATCCATAGAGCCAAGGGGAGTTTTCAAAACGTCTTCATGCAACGTGTGTGCTCGTATAATGGGGCGAACCTTCTCCAATGTCATTCGAACCTGAATTAAGTCACTCTATGGGACCTTCGACGAACCGCTTCTCAAAGAGGCCAAGGAAGCTTGACGAATCAGGACGCAAGGAGATCTCAACTCTCGCTGGATTTTTCACAACGGTAAGTTCGTTGATTGTGAAATGCTTTTCCCGGTCTAGGCCTATTTACTCTAGAGTTCCTCCGCCTCTGAAGAGACCTAATACTTGCTTATGCAATTATTTGAACGCCGTTTGATCGACCGAATTTTCGCCGTCGATCCACATAACACGACGTCGGGACTAATGTATGAATGCCTTTAACTGTAGAGTCTATATCCCAATATGGCAATATATTATCCACTTTTAGGTTAGTATAATCATTCTATGATGGTTATTTACACTGCATGTTGTACCAAGGGGGAAAATTTTGGACCCATTTTATTTGAAACCCTGCGTTGTTTTGGTTACCGCTCTGCGACGAACATTGAAAGCACAGTGATATACCCTTTCACTTGTGCATTTCAGATGTGCAGTTACACTTCAGCGGCAAGAACGAAACATACTATGTAGGCTCGGGTGGTAGGCTCGGTCCTATGTATGAATATGTGAAGCTATGAATCAATTGAGTTTAGCTCCACTAAATAGGCCGCACCTGTTGGCTTCATATGGGAGGTCAGTGTCTGGAAAGGCATAAGTTAAAATTTCAATGCAGGATGTCTCACGATCGTAAGACATGTGACATTCATGTATTCTTCTGGTGAAGTGCTCGACTTAAAGTACCTGACTGTACGACACCCAGTAGTCACAAAATAAGTTTGTTACGGCTGAGGAGCATTGGGCCACGTATAACTTCAGACAGGTGGTTGGAATGAGCTAGGCAAGTAGCTGTTGAGTAAGCTATATTGCAGATGAACCCACACTGGCTACAACCGAATGGGAGCAGTGGTTATCAACGGTGGGTAAGAGGCTCAAAAGCGGACAAACAACCTCCACGTTGCCGAAATATTTGCCTCGACCTTATTAGTAGTGTGCTCTTTTATCAAGACATTTCGCAGTATCCGGATATCGCGCAAGCTGGAACATCAACATTTTATTTGAATCATCCTGCTCCTCCAACCACGATCACCCCATGGAAGACCAACACCCCTGAAGATGAGAATAAAAAGTGAATTGCTTCATAACATCAAGTTTATATGCTACCTTGTGTATTTGCCAAACATGCATTCTAATTTCGTATTACATTTCACCAGGACTAGATGGCGAGAATGTCAGGTCGTTCTTTCCGGACAAAGGCTTTTTACATGTCCAAAGTGCAGTGCAGTCCGCGGTTAGGCACGTCGCGTTCTATAGATCTGGACGGATTTTTGAATAGCTTGTGCAACTTTGATCACAAATGGTGAAAACTGGAATATTTGTCCGTCGCGGTAAGCACACGAGTTTAGGTTACGAAATTCCTGTGGGATAAGGTATCATAGTTGTGTGAGTTTATGGGGAAAAACGTTGTCAGTTTTGACAGCACACGGGCTACAACACACTTGGCGTACAATTTGCGCCTGCGCATTTAAACACAATCTGTTTCCTCCGCATTTCTTGTCTTCCCATATGCCACAAATCGATCAGCTAGGGTTGCGCACATCGCAGTTCTCGTTGTCGGGAAGAAAATAATCAAGTGCTTCGATCCCAGAAACTGAGGTGATGTGATAAGTAGCTATAAAACAATGAGTCATGGCGAATTCGCAAACATAATGGTCTATTTTCAACCCCAGCAAATATTCACAAGCAGTACGTTATGGTATTTTGACATTCGTGTTACTTGTTACTTATCTATGCGGGTATCGCGTAGTACACAGTGAACGAATCAAGTTGGTGAAAGTGGTCCTAACTTACGAGATAGTTTTATGATCTATATATTTGAATGCTTTTAGCGGAACTTCCACAAGGCCTTGAAATTACTACCATTTACAAGTTTATCCCAACCAGATACTATGTCGTTATTTTTGCATTTTTCGCGTCATCTACATGTCACTTCTGAAGAGGTGTGTAGCAACCGTTAGAACCAGAATATTCGGATGATTAAGCTGCCGTGAAAAAGGGAAAATGCATATGCATTCCGCAAGCTCCGATAGGAAGATGGTTCATCACACGCAACTATTAACTCGCTGACGTCGCTGCATTTTTGCGCCTGCAAGTGCTCAACATACCGCTACGAATGGTCAAGTCAAGGCTGGTTGCATTATTAGAATGTGCAGCTTGAGCGGATATTTTTTGTACAAAGCGCTTTGCTCCCATCAACAACCACAATCAGTTGGTGCCGATATTGATGTGTCTTTGGCATCTGCAACGTCACTCCAAACAGTGACTATACCAAATTGGAATGAATTGGCTGCATCGAGAACACCTGCTGGCATTGAACAAAAACAACTAACTTGCGCGTCGACAACGTGTAAGTATTGCTACTCATTCCCAGTGTATTTTCCGCTTACTATCCGTTAAGTTTCCCCACAATTAGATGAAGATGTTTATGAGTACACCATTCCATTCTGACCTGGAACAAAGATGGTCCTTTAGTTGGTAACATTAGTCGGCCACGACATACGTAGCTTCTGTTTCACTGTTTGAGCAATGCGGTTACCTAGTAAGAATATTCGACGAGTTTCGTGCGCGATGTTCCACCGAAGACGGTGGATTTAACCTGCCTGTGTTCAATATTTCAATCAGTGTATTTATATCGGTCGACTGAGAAATTCATGAAAAGTATGAAGACGACGTGAGTTCCGCAAATCAACCCCAAAATTTCGGGTTCGGCTGGTAAAATTTCATATTGGAATGTGGTAACCGTCCGCCAAACTATTTACAGACCCGAGACGACGAAACGAATGGTGACATTCTAATAATTCACCATTCAGCAGATCAACACTTGAAACTATTTGTGCTTCGACGTTCAATTCTCTTGAGTATGACCCCATACGCTGCGGCGGCGCGAATTGGGCCAACTGACCAACCAGCTGTGTGTCACTGGCCAAGTTAATTTACTTTCCCTAGGTATCACGGCGATAATCACAAAGCTACACGTAATTAAAGCCGTCTGCAAGCCAACTAATCTTGTGAACTAAAGCGAAATGTGAGTGACTTTTAAATGGGCTTATTTTCAATGCTTGCCTCCTGGATTCTCTTCTGCGAGGGATATTATGTCATAATGTTTCATCCATTCCTAATTATCTGAGCCGGGATACCAAGGGAATGAAGTTGTTTCAATGCCTCTTTCTTTCGTCCAAACGACTGTCACAAGCAATTATCGCCAAAACCAGAGTCGGTCTAGGATTTCCGCCTTTCTTATCAGTCTCAGTTGTCAGTGGCTGAGATACAAGTAAATTCGGTGAAAAGATGAACACCAACGGGCAACCCCTCGTTAAACTATAACAACTCCGTCCCGTCGATTATCGTGCTCATTTAGTAGAATTTATAATATGCACAGAATATAGATAAAATGAAGGTGGACCTCTTAAATACTAAAAGGTACTGAAGGTATGAATTGAGTTTTTCTTTTCATAACGCTAGGGCAGC